TGTCTTTTATCAGTTTTAATCATCTGTCCACTGTATATAATTCTGGCTGACAGAAAATCTATAATTCTGCGTAGTGTGGCCTAGCGAGTCACAAACTAGGACTCAAGAGGCCTGGGTTCAAATCTGCACTCAGCCATGGAAACCTGCTGGATGTCAACATTATCAAAATCTCTCCTTCAACATCTCACTGACATTGGACAATCCTAGAGATGTAAAATTTCCATTTCTTCCAGAAAAAAAAATGGAAATTTTCAGAAATGTTACATCGCTTTAAAAAATCCTCTTATTTATTATTAGTATTTGTTTTATTTATAGGCCACCTTTCTCCCAATAAAGGGCCCGAGGCAGCTCATGACTGAAAAGAATAGAATGAAAAACATCAGTTAAACATTAAAAAAACACAATTAAATGATATGCTAATTAAAACACACTTGAATAATTAAAAAGCAAGCAAACCCTAAAAGCTATCTTAAGTTTAAAAAGGCATTCAGGGACTTCATTCTGACACGTCATTATAAGTTGGATGTGACTCAACAGTACTAAACACATGGACGTGCCCTGTCATTCTGTACTGCAAGCATCAGCGTGGAGGACGTGTCGCACGCAAATTTGGTTTGCACCGTTTCTGGGATCCACACGCCACCTTAGGGTGTTTCTACAGAGGTTTTTTCCCCCTCTGCAAAACTCTCGGATAAAGCAATGCTGTTTGGGCTGCGCAAGGCCGTCGGAGAGAGAAGATGTTACCTGCGTGAAAATCTGTGTGAGCTTCTCCGTACGATCCCCGTAGTGCAGCCTCATGTCCAACGTGCTGCTGGACAAGATCACGCAACCGGTGGGTTTGAGAACCCGCTCCACTTCCGCCATGAAGCGAGGAATGTCGAACCAGTGGGCCGCCGAAAACGCCGTCACCAGGTCCACGGAGTGGTCTTCGAAGGGCAGCTTCTCCGCCGGGCAGACGCTGCATTAAAAGGAAGGGCCGCCGCAAGGCTAGAACGACACACCACCACCGGCTCGCCTTGCCGAAACCTCTCGGAGAGAACTCGGGTCAGCAAAAACCGAAGTGGCGGGAGGAAGCTGTGGCCGTTGGTGGCCTCCGAAACCCAAGAGCCTTTCACGTGACCCGTAAGAGACAAAGACGTTTCATTGGGCATCGGCTTCCGTGGCACATAGCCCCTGGAAGCTGGCGCCCAATAAAACGTACTCGTCTTGAGCCTGGCACACTGTTTTTTTTTCCCTGTGACAGTTGGTTTTTAAAACCATCCCACTGTCCACATTGACTTTCTTGCCAAGGTGAGAGTCTACGTCGGCAGACGCTGGTGACTTAGGCTAAGGAGCGCGCCAAGATGCTGAATTAATTAATTTATTTGATTTTTATCAAGCAGTGCAAGATACGGGATCTATTTGGGTGTGTGTGTGTAGGATCCAGCACCTCAGATAAATGCTATAAAGTTCGGACTAAAACACAGAGAGTGCCACAAAATCAGAGCCACTCATTTCCACTGTTTTATATTTGCTCTTCCATCTCCCCTAAAGGATAAGATCTTTTAAAAACAACACCAAGGAAGTGTCTTTGTTAATTCCTGGCCTTTAGAACCTCTCGCCACCTGCTATAGAATCCTCTTCCTGCTTCCCAGGATTGTGGGGAGTGTTTTAAAAGGAAGATGCTCAGATTTTGGGACTAAATTAAGAGCACCACCATTTCCAATAGAAGACTGTTTCCGAAGCAACTAGAAGGCTTGTTCTTTCCTTCGGACAAACAAATTACCAAGGAAAACAAAGCCAAGTTGCAAATTGAACAACCATGAAAGGACAATCACACCTCTATTGCTGCTTAAATCAGCTCTGCTTCTAACAGCGAAGCTCCATGTCTCATTTGCTTTGGGTTCTCAGGTTTCACCCAGAGTCCCGTGCCCGGTTCCAGCCACCAAGCGTCAGGAAACATGCTGTGTGTGTCCACCTGTGTTTACTTACAGGTAAGAGACGTTGGGAGGGTGGGGCGCCCGATTGGCTTCCTCAATCTGAGCATCACTGATGTCGGTCCCGACCACCTTCTCGAAACGCTTGGCCAGCAGGTGAGTGCACTGGCCTGAGCCGCACCCCACGTCCACGGCCAGACGAAAAGAACTCAACTTTGGAGGAGGGAAGAACAGTAAGAAATGCACCCCTTCCATCACATTATTTCATCTATAGACACCTTCTACTGCTGGTTCAGCTCCAGTGATATAATGCCTTCATTCCTAATCATGTCCGCTTAGAAGGATGCGCCAGAGGCGAGCAAACTTCATGGCTAGGTAAGCGCAAGAAGGGCATCCGCCCAATTTTGTCTGGAGAATGTAATACAGTGGTGCCTCGCTTGACGATTGCCCCACATTATGATTGCCCCGCATTAAGACGATCTTTTTGCGATCGCAAAACGATGGTCTGAATGGGGTTTTTTCGCTTTGCGATGATCAGTTCCCTGCTTTGGGAACCAATTCTTCGCAAAACAATGATTTTCCTCCAGCTGATCGGCGGTTTCAAAATGGCCGCCTGGTAAATAAAATGGCTCCCCGCTGTTTTCTGGGATGGATTCCTCACTGCACAGGCACCGAAAATGGCCACTCTATGGAGGATCTTCACTGGACGGTGAGTTTCCAGCCCATTGGAACGCATTAAACGGGTTTTAATGCGTTGCAATGGGCTTTTTATTTTCGCATTTCGACGTTTTCATTCTACAGCGATTTCGCTGGAACGCATTAACGTCGTAATGCGAGGCACCACTGTAAGAGGAAAGCAATTTCTACCCAAAAAAAGTAATATCAAAAATCAAAACACTGTAGTTCAAAAAATAGCTCAATTGTTTAGGTCTCTGGCTGCAGAACCAGAGGCTGGGAGTTTGATTCCCTCACTGGGCCTCTATAGCACTGGTCCCCAACCTTGGGCCTGCAGATGTTCTTGGACTTCGTCTCCCAGAAATCTTGGCCAGCAGAGGTGGTGGTGAAAAGGCTTCTGGGAGTTGTAGTCCTGGAACATCTGGAGGCCCGATGTTGGGGACCACTGCTCTATAGGGTCTATTCCAGCCCTGCAGGTCTAAGAGGAAGAGGAGGATACAAATTGGCAAACCTTTTGACTAGCATATTATATAACATCCTGTATAAATACTCTGCTTTTACATATACCGGTCATTTCACACACCTGCTTCCTGATGGAGCGGGGTTTTAAACGGATTGTTGTGCTCTGCTTGATGGGAACTAAAATCAAGACTCAAACATGTTTAAAGCAACTGGGCACCACAATCCACTGGGAAAAAAAACACACAGATTGTCCACTGTAGATGGTTTGGGGCTTTATCTTCCAGCCTCCTCCACTGGATGGGAGTTTTGAGATCAAGGATCTGGAGAGCCTCGCTTCCCCATCGTTGCCCAAGACAACATGTACAGAGGTCTTCGTGACCTGGAGATTTCACCCGATGTGCAAGAAGCTGGGGCTTTATAGGTCTTCTTGCAACCCACCCATCCCAAACCCTTCAAAGGGTCCGTCAGAGGCTCCCTCCTAGCCCTCCTCAGAGATGCTGTAAAGTGGAAGCCTCAAACATCTGGATGCAGGGCGCTTATCCTCTCCCCATAAGCCTTCCTCCTTTAAAACAAAAAGTAAGATGCTAGTCCTCTGGAGGCCGAAAGGAAAGAGCTTGATCTTATTTCACTCCTGTTTTATTTCTTGTGTATTTTTACTGATTAGGACTGTATGTTTCATCTCTGGTTGCCAACGACCCAGAAGAATGCTTTGCTCTAATGGGGCAGTCTATAAATCGAATTAATTAATTGGGGGGGGCAGAAATAAACTCAGCCAAGGATGCCCACCCTGATTCTTGAGTCAGTCCCTCCCTTTTCCAGACCCACCGAGTCATGCTGGAGTTTTACACCCAAAAATGTTTGTGGCATGCAAACACACACACACACACACACAAAACATATATTTTCTAAGCCCTGCTCGATGAAGCGCTCCCTATTTTTCCTGTTCCCTCGTTCCTTTCCAGAAGTTCTTACCTTTTCATCCAGGTATGAGAAAATCACCCTTTGCTGGTTCTCCTGGAGGGAGAACCGGTATTTCTGGTAAAAAACTGCGTGGTCTTTCCCCTCGAACAAGCGGGCGGCCATGGCTCTCCCTAGACGTTAAAAGAAAAAAGAAAAAAACGAACACAAGTAACGGAGCCGCCTCTTTTAATTCTTGCGAAAGGGGTAAACTGGACTTTGCCTTTTGCAAAATCTGGCGTGAAAGGAAGGGAGCCGGCCGCCCTCCCTCCCTTCCTTCCTCCCCGCAGCCGCCCGGAGATTATGTAAAAGCTGGAACGGAAGGGAACGGAAGGGGTGCCTTTGCAACAAATAACGCCGTTACCCGTCTCGAGGAGCCGCGTTGGGGCGGCTCGATGCCGAAACAGGAGGATCTTGGACACTTGGGCGGAAGAGGGCATTTGAGCAAGAGCAAGCAGAGCTTAGAAAGGGTGCCTTTTTAAGAGGGGGGAGGGACCCACTACAGATCCCATACTCCCCCAATCAGGTTTCTGGGGGATAATGGGACTTGTAAAAACAAAAAACCCGAAGTACCAAAGAGGGAATGCTTGAAGTGACTCTTGTTTCTGCCCCCCCTCCGTGTTTTTGAAGTGACTCTTGTTTTTGCCCCCACCCTGTTGTTATTCTATGCCTTCAAATGGCTTCGGATTTGTGGCAAATCTAAACAGGGTTTTCAAGGTCCATAAAAGGTTCAGGCTGCAGGGAAAGCTTGCGGTCTGGTCTGTTTCAATTGCTTTTCTATCCGTCCTACTGAACTAGCGCTATGCCAGAAATAAGATGAATACATGCAGTATTAAAAATGACACCCCAGCTGCGGTACTACCGTAAACCATTGCCTTTAACACAACGATTTCAAAAGCCCATGTCGCTCTCTCGATCCAGATACGACACAGTTTACGTTTTCCTAAGAGGAGGCACACACTGACTGACCCAGAAGCCATGCGACTTTAAACCAGTTTCAAAAACAATGATCCATCTCCCAATTCACTTTCATAATGTAACCATGCCATGAGTCTCATAGACATGTTGACAAAACATCTGATCTTTATCCGTATGTATATATCTATATAGCTACATTATAACAACCTGTTATGGGTTGTTTACATATTATGTTTCAGAAGTGGTGTGGGATTTGCGGTATAGGGGGATTAATACCGACTGAAAACATGACATTTCTGAAACTATTGGGCCCGTGTTTAAGTCTTATTTCTTTGCCACCGGTTTCTTTATTAAGAGGGGTTCCTACACCCCTTCTTGACATATTATGCCATTCTTATCCGTTCTTAACCAAGATATGGCCTAGACAGGTACAAACTGTTTGGAAAGGTCTATTATCTCAAGCAAATAGGAGAGAGGGAGTGGCGTTCGTTAGCCTGAAAAGACATTTAAATTCTTTGCCAGTTAACACAGCCGGTGGGCTCCTCTACACCCATAAACAGGTCTATCCCCTAAAGCCCTCTGTTCTTATCTAGGAATAAGTTCCATTGGTTACTGCTGGATTGATTGACAGTCACCCCGGCCCAGAAAGGTCCCGCCCAGCCAAACCTTCTAAAGGCAGCATGCGAGGTTGCAAAACTCCGCCTATCCAAACAGGCACATTCCTTGGTCCCACCTACAATCCTTGGCTCACGTTAAGGCTGTTGTGAAGAAACTGAACACAAAACGATGCCCGCTTTTTCAGACGTGAATAGCTAAAAGGCAGCCCTTTTGGGAAATCTCCCATGGTTTTGTTGGCAAATTAAAATGCGTAACTTGATTAGTTATATCAATACACAGGTGAGTTAGATAAAGTGCATAATCAATGCACTTGTTAGGACACAGGTGCCAATAAAAGTATAACTACTAGTTTCAGTACTTGTTACCCAACTATAAGTTATAAGTAACTAGGTTACTTCTGAGTTACTTTTCATCTCCAACGTCACCGCCTATAAATGGCAGGGTTCCATATGCCTGAGCCATAAACACAATATCAAACCACAATCTCTGGGAAGGGAGATTCATTCCAGGCAGGATGATTATCCTGCCAACCCCCTGCAAAGGCAGTCCCGGGAGGAAGGAAGACCAGGGCGGTCATTCATCCAGAGCGACAGAGGGTGTCCTTTTCTACAGCCATGTGCTTTGAGCTCATGGGGAGATGTGGTTGTTGTGCGTTATTTCCTTTCTGTCTGAGACTATCTGGGCTAGCTGAGGCCAGCCACGTGGTGAGCCACCTTTCTGCCCTGCCTCGGAGAACCAGGTGGGCTGCATTTTCGACCTCCTTTGGCCACACAACTTGTACAGCAGGTTGCGCGGCTCCGATTTTTTTACTACACCACCGTGCACACCCTAGTCCCGTCAAGTCCAGTGGCATTTTTCAAATGTTTTTCCTTTTCCCCCATTCTTCCCAGCCTCTCTCAGCATGGGAGTCACGTACGGCCCACAGTGACCATCCTTCTGTAGCAACCAGAGACGCCCAATGGATATTGACCACTGCCTGAACGACTACAGTTTCCCAGAATCCCCTATGACACTTACGAAAACCTTCACGGCCCACCCCGTGGTCTATGAGGCCAAACATTCAACATAGATCAGGGGCACAAGGCGGTCAATCCCTCGACATCCTGGGCTGCTCCCCGGAAGTGATCAGAGGACTAGCAGCACCATTAAACATAGCGCTATGGCATAGCGCTAGTTCAGTAGGATGGATAGAAAAACTCATATTATTTGGAGAGAAAGGAAAGTAGAACAAATTGTCTGTTTAGACCCGTCCTTTGCTGAACATCCCATTCAGAGATGCAGCATCTGGTCTAAGGAGAGGGGAGGACTCATGGGCCACACAGACTGCACTGAACCACAATAATGCTTGATCCCATGCTCCTTTCATTCACTCTGAGTCCAGGAGGGTCTGGTTAGCTCAGGATAAGTCTCCTCCTCTGTTGCCCGAAGCCACCGGGAGTGATCTGGCTAGGCCATCCGGTTGACTCCCAACCTCAGACAGGTGAAGAAGCCAGAAGGCAACCAAGAGAGGGCCAAGGTTGGCTTAGAAACCAAGCCCTTTGAGGGGAGCTGGCCTGTTCCGCCTGGAGAAAAGAGTGGACACTCCTTCGCAGGAGTTTTTTAAGCAGACGTTGGGTGGCTACCAGATGTTTTAGCTGTGGGTTTCCTGTCTTGGAGGGATTCAATGATCCACAGGGTCCGTTTCAGTTCTACCATTTTATGAAATCCTTAAAACATCCTTGGTGTCGTGTTATGTTCCACACACCTGCCTTTCACCCCGATCCAACCCCTGTCGTCCCAGAGTTGTGTTCTCCTTACGTTGCCCATCTCAACACGCCTTGTTTTTCGATTTTTATTTGGGAACCAAACGGGAGGAACCTGTTTGTCGTTGGAGTCGAGATGTTTAGACCGGTCGTGGGAGGAATGTTGACCATTGGCACAGGAAGTCCGGGCGCAACCCCTAAAGGCGTTCAGGGTTGGCCGGTTGGGCGGAAGATCATTCTCCCGTGGGCTTCACTTCACCCTCACGCTGAGGGCTGCGAGCGACGATCGCCATTCTGTCCCCACTTGGCTCAGAAGAAACATCTTGAGAAGACCGAGTCACGTCCGCGAGGATGGCCTCCTTCCTTCTGCTTCTGTTGCTGGCCGCTGGCGGGACCGTCGGCCAAATAGGTAAGGATGGTTCAATCAAAAGTTGTTTTTTATAAAAGGAATATCTACTTATTTGCCTTTTTAGGGGGAAAACCTTGCTCTTCACGCAAAAAGGCGCCTGGAACAACAACTCCATCAATAACCCGTGGGAGACTCTCTGCCTTTAGTCTAAAAAACAAAAATTAAAAGTCTAACAGAGACAACACAAAAGGAAGAGACGGTGCGGAGGGAGGAGGGGAAAAAAGCAAAACCAGGCACAAGTTCTTAAATTTTTGAGAGGTTACACTTGCTTATTATTTTTCTAAACTAGAATTTAATTTTAAAGAGGCATTGATCATATACGCCGTGTCTGGGATATTTTGATGTACTCCAGTGTTTTGTCCTGCTCTGTCTGTCTCTCCAACTTTTCATACTTCCTTGCCTTGGTTCTGTTTGGTGAAGCTTAGACTGTAATCTCCTTGAGTCGGAGACCCTGCCTTTTTTTTTCCCCTGGAAAGAATCAGCAGACAATTTAAACGTAGAGAGTATAACAATCATCTTTCCGTCCAGAGGGATAAAAATTTTGGAACAAGCTTGCCGGGCTGGCTAAAGAAATAAAAGCTAGGCTGGAGTTCAAAACAAAATGGGGGAAATTTATTGGGGAAAATCACTATGATTTTCTTTCCAATATCATCTTTGCAGCCGTTATGAAATATATTACAAACCAAACAACCAATTGCTACAACATCTGTGTTCCAGAGACATGATTCATATGGTCTTTCAGGTCCAATGAATCAGACTTGCAAATGCAGGACATTCTTATGTCTTAAAGACCAATCTAGCTGGATAACTCAGTAGTTTAGGTCTCTGTCTGCGGTGCCAGAGGTTGGGAATTTGATTCCCCCCCCACTGTGCCTCCTACGAGTAGAACCAGCCTTGTGTAGCCTTGGGCAAGCTGCACAGTCCAAGGGTGACCCCAGAATAAGGGAATTGTGAGCCTCTTCTGAGTCTTCTATCCCTGGAAAATCCTGACAAGCGCTGCCCGTAAGCCTTGTCATTAAAGACCAAAGTGAATCTCTTCTGAGTCTTCTCTCCCTGGAAAATCTTGACGAGGACTGCCCGTAAGCCTTGTCATTAAAGACCAATCACAAAACAAACTAATTTTCCAAAGACAGAAGCTAAGGATTCTTGGGGCAATAATCAACGTTTAAAGAATCCTCTCTTCTGATGACAGGCCATGTGTAATGTGTAGTTTGGCCCCATAGTTTGAGTTTTTGGTTTCCCCTTTATGCTGCTGATGTGCCCGTTTCAGCAAAGGGACAGATGCCTGGGTTTGGGTCGCTTGGAGATGTTACTATTTTATATTCCAATTCCCAGCATGCCCTAGGGTTCACCTGACTGGGGCTTCTGGGGCTTGTAGTCCCCAAAAGCCAAGTTTCTGGATGAGTGGAATATGTGGTTTTCAGATCGATTCAACAGACTGGAATGGTTTTGCACCCAAATTTGTTACTTTTTTTTTTCTCAACTACCCTGCCCAGAATAAAAAGTCCTGCGGGCCAGGCATTCAGCGAAAGTAACTTTTGGACGTTACTTCGTTTGAAGAACAGTTTACTAGAGTTTGATGGTGTATCTTCTGTTAAACTTTTCAACATGCTATGATTCACTTCTTCCCCACCTACCGGGGTCTCCTGGACACCCCACCCCTTGAATCTCTGTGTCTTTGTAGAGGTGGTTCGTTACGTCCCTCGCGTCTCGGATTTGAACATAGAAGGGAAGACCACTGGCACCACTTTTGCTTTGGAGCCCCCAAACTGTGTCTTCGATACCTTTGTCAATTCCTCGGACGAGATATGGGTGGCGATTGCATACGCTAATGGTGAGTCTATGGCCCACTTTTCTTGTCCTCTCAAATTGTTTATCTGGGAATGGACAGTAACGGTGGACAACCGTCTCCTTACTTTACCCAGACAGCTTTTCGATTTTTGTAATCATTAATTTCACGTTTGTTTCCGGATTTTATTTTTAGTCGGTTTCATTTTAGTCTATCAAAGGGGCTTTTGAATGAGTCACACTGTTGGTCCATGCCGTCCGGTGTTGTCCAACTCTGACCGGCGGCCACTGAAGATTGGGCTAGGAAAGGATAGGCATCTTTCCTAGCCCTGTCTTTAATTGCCTGGGATTCACGGGGGGGATCTGCCAGGGAAAATTGCTACGTCACCTAAGATGGGCAAATGAAAGAAAAGAAATGGGTCAGAGGGGGAGGTGAGGAAATTGAGCCAAATTCTGCCTGATCCAGACTGCCTCCAGCCCAGGGACTCAGCGGCTATGTTCCATCTAGTTACGCTCCTTAATAGATTGAACACCAAATACAGACTCAAATGGCCTTGAAGTTATGGAGCAGCGTAAGGGGCGAGTGGGAGGTTTTATACTAGCCTCGCTGTTAAGCCTCCCTCCTGGCAGCCAGAAGCGATTGGAAATTGCACGCAGGCGAATACATCAGCTGGTGGAGGACAAACAGAGTTGTCAAGTCCTCCTCTTCTGTGTGACTAGTGAAAAGGAGCGGCAGATTGCTTTTATGATCTGGGGCAGCCACTGCAATAATAGTCCTTCATCATCATCATGTTAGAATTACACAGCTGGAAGGGACCCTATGGGACCATCCAGTCCATCCCCTCTCAAGTGGGGAATTGAACTCCCAGCCTGTGGCTCCACGGCTTAGAAACTTAAACCATTGAGCTGTCCAGCTGCTCCACTAATAGCATCTCAGCTCAACTTCCTGCTCTCCTCTTCTCCACTCTGCAAACAGCCACGGCCAGCTTCAAGAACCCAACGAGTCCTAAGGATATCCCACCGTATGAAGCCCTGTTCTCCTCACATGGCTACATGACCATGAAAGCCACCCTCTCCAGCTACCCGTGCAAAGGAGCCAAGCCCGGGAAAGTGCTCCGCATTGGCAACGAGTCAAGCTGCAAAAATGACGACACTGAGACTACCTGTAATGGCCCCTTGCCCTCTGCAGGTCCTTTCAGGTGAGCATAACCGGGACACATTGATATCACCCAGAGTCAATCCATTTTTTCCTCTTTTTGGAACAGAGCCCATATGCATGGTAAGCACTCTAAACTAGGGACCAAGCAATAGGTAGATAGCTTGGTTGTGTTTTCCCCTTTTGGTCTTTTCTAGATCTACATGCGGATTGCTACTGCAAGGGTCTTCCTCCTTCCTTCTCTTTCTCAGGTCCCTTCTTCCTTCTTAATTTTCTTCCCAAGTCATAGAAAGCCATAGAATTGCTTCGTTTCTCCATAATGTCTGAGTAGATCTTCAGATACAGAAATGGCTTTAGAGGCTTTTGAAACAAAGTTCAGGGTTCTTTCTCCTGCACTATTCTTGAATGGCTTTCCTGAAGAGATAAACATAAGTCTCGGAAATTTTTTTTGCCAGTTATGAGTTTCTGGAGTAAATACTCCTGCCGTAAGTTTCATACTACTGTATTCCACTGCACTCAGCTAGCACAAATACCAAATCATTGGTCCAGTCTCTGTCCCTGTCTCTCTCTTCCTCTCTCTCCTCTCTGTGTATCACTCCATTAGCCGACCTCACAAGCTTGTTGTGAGGATTGAAGTGCAGCTGGAGTGTGTTTACTGCACCGTGAGATTAGAGGTGTGCAGATTTGTGTTCTGGAGTATAGATCCCAGATTTTGGCACGCCTCAGCATGAGAGCCTGAGAGGAAATGCAGTCGATAAATAAATAAATCTTAATTCCTAGGGGCAGTGTTCTGTATGAATTTTCCCGCCTGCAACCACCATTGCAGAAGCTAGTTGGGCTAATTGTCACGTGCTGGTTACATGCTTGGTTGCATGTCTCGTGCTGACAAGCACATAACCAACACGTGACAATTAGCTACCAGATGGTACATGGTATACCTTGAAGTAAAACAACTGAAGCAAATAAAAAGAGAGAGACAGAGAGAGAGAATAATCTTCAAAGCCAAGAACAGGGTAGAGATAGAAGCAGTGAGGAAAAAAATTAAGGTAATCTATAGCCTTCTAGATGTTGCTGGAGTGTCGGCTGGCGTTTGACCATATCTAGAAAGTTCTCTAATTTTGGTCTACCATGTGCTTACAACACTAATGCGGGGGGAGCCCTTTAGTTCTATGTCTTGTTGACCTGTTGTTGAGACTCTCAGACCCATGTGTCACGTTCTCCAAGAGATCACAATGGAAATCAGCACTACCATTACTTGGAAGTGGTTTTCAAGGGCTTTGCGTGATCTCTCCCGGTATTTATCTCTTCGAAATTGAGCAACCTTGTCAGCGCTTGGAATTTTCAAGACTGAGGCATGACCAGTTTCTCACACTCACTGAGAACCGGTCCCTCCGCCTGGACTTTCCTGTCAGGGGAGGTGCGTTCAACCCGATTGTCCACATCGCTGTCCAGCAGAGCGGATATTACCGAGGGGCACAGAAACAAGACAAGAATCAAGATTGTGAGAATGCAGCCGGCCACACGTTCGAGGCACTCTGGTCACCAAGATACAGAAGTTACTATGTTATTATAGGATTATAAGAAGATTCCTGTTATTATTATGAAGGACATAAATAAAGCTTTTATATTATATTATATTATATTATTATTATATTATATTATATTATATTATATTATATTATATTATATTATATTATATTATATTATATTATATTATATTATTAGAGATTGTCCCCACAGCAGTGCAAGGATATTAGATTGGAGTTTATTGCCATTTTCTCATGGTGGCTATTTTAATAAAAAAGGAGATTAGAATGTAGAGCCCTGCTTCTTGAACAAGATTCTTTCTTTCTTTCTTTCTTTCTTTCTTTCTTTCTTTCTTTCTTTCTTTCTTTCTTTCTTTCTTTCTTTCTTTCTTTCTTTCTTTCTTTCTTTCTTTCTTCCTTCCTTCCTTCCTTCCTTCCTACCTACCTACCTACCTACCTACCTACCCACCCACCCCAGACAACATATAGAGTTGGTCAAGGATTCATCACCACTACCCTAGGAAACACAAGCCAAAGGCAAATGAGGATGCACATTTGCATAAAATTTGCATAGATGCCTAGATGCAAATTTGGAAACCAACCCACCCTCAGTTCACCACAATGGGAAAGTCTGTAACCTCGTTGTTGTCAATGGGAAATGTCAAGTCCCCTTCCCTTCTTCCACTTCTTTATTTCTACATAAAAGCCCTGTGTGTTGGGGGGGCGGTCAAGCTGGTGAGCAGTGGGTTGGAGCATCTGGTTGCAGAGCCAGACGCTCCAATCCCCACCAAGCCTTCTGGCCAGCCGAGATGATGATGATGATGATGATGATGATGATGATGATGATGATGATGATTGGAATGTTGTTAATATTCTTTCTGCCCTCCCTTTGTTGGTGTTTTAACTTATTTTCAGAGTGAAATTCCTTGCCATGGGCTCCAAAGGTCCTAAAGCAGAAACACGGTGGTCAATTCCAATCACTCTCAAGAAAGGTACGTCAGAAGAAGCAGAGAGACGGGTAGAAAGTGGGAGAGATATATGGTGGAAAGTCTGGTCCAAACCTAACGGGTAAATCCCATTGATTCAATGGGACTTACATACACGTTGGCTTACCACGGCCCCATGGGGTCAATGGTTCTATTAGGGTTGAGCCCAACAAGGGTATGTAGGCTTTGACACTCTGGACAAACAAGATTGGGTTGCAGAGTTTTGAATTTCTAGTTACAATTCTCCTTTGGATACACAACAGAAGTACAGAGATTCACCAGGGAGAACAGCTTCAAGTTGCTCAGATTGTCCACCCCTTTCTCATTAACTGGAACTTACAGTCTCAGTAAATCGCTCTGAGACAGTAGCAGTAGAAAGAATTCAACCGTTTCGCTACATACAGTTGAAACCAGATAGCAGCAAACTCTAATAACCAAGAAATAGTTGACTTCCAACAGACAATAGAAAGAGAACACTCAGCAGAGCACCAGGGCTGTCTTTGAATGCTGAAGCAGGAAGGAATGATTGGTTAGTATGGATAGATTGGCAGCCAGCCCAGCCCAGAAGGTCCCGCCCAGCCAAACAAACTACACGTAGCATGCAAGGTTGCAGAAACATACAGATATCTATCTTTTTAATGAGAAGCAATCAGATCTACAATATATTTCAGTAACAATACTTTAACTGGAAAACAGTGAGACTTTGTGATGAATCAAGGCAGGTTTCTGCAACTTGGGGCCCTCTGCCTCTGGCTGACTACAACTCCCATCATTTCCACCTTGATCCCTTAGTTCCGCCGGGCCAATCCACCCTCTGTTGCAGGTCAGCGGATAATTGCTGCTCATTGATGGTGTGTGTGTGTGTGTGTGTGTGTGTCTCGGTGCCGTGCCTGAGTCAGTCACGTCCCTGAGTGCACAGTGGAGATGAGCCCCGGCCACTCGTGAATTAGCCGCAATTAGCCGTCGCCAGCTGTACAAGCCTCATGTCAACACCAGGAGGGCGGATAATTGCTGCTCATTGATGGTGTGTGCGTGCGTCTCGGTGGCGTGCTTGACTCAGTCACGTCCCTGAGTGCACGGTGGAGGTGAGCCCCGGCCACTCGTGAATTAGCCGCAATTAGCCGTAGCCAGCTGTACAAGCCTCATGTCAACACCAGGAGGATTCCAGCTGTTTGGTTCAAGTGGCCCTCCACTCTATTGTTAAGAAGCTCTTCAGTGACCCTTTGGGAGTTTGTAATATTTAAGACCAAGCCGTAAGAAGGTTAGACAAACAGCTGAGAACCAGGTAAGACGCCACGGCTTAATTTCTCATCTCTTTTCAGCTGAGGCGTGGAAAGGTATTGACACCTGGCCGGGACGACGCAGCGGAGACATGATTGTCATCACGGTCATCCTCTCTTCGCTCTGCGGGGTCGTCACCATCGCTTTCCTTAGCACGGTCGGCTATGAATGGTAAGAGGCAACGCTTGAGAGCCAACGTATACATGTAGGCTCTCCATCAGTGGCTCCCCACCTCGGTTCCCCAGATGTTCTTGGACTGCAACTCCCAGAGCCTCATGTCAACACCAGGAGGGATTCCAGCTGTTTGGTTCAAGTGGCCCTCCGCTCTGTTGTTGAGAAGCTCTTCAGTGACCCTTTGGGAGTTTGTAATATTTAAGACCAAGCCGTAAGAAGGTTAGACAAACAGCTGAGAACCAGGTAAGACGCCACGGCTTAATTTCTCATCTCTTTTCAGCTGAGGCGTGGAAAGGTATTGACACCTGGCCGGGACGACGCAGCGGAGACATGATTGTCATCACGGTCATCCTCTCTTCGCTCTGCGGGGTCGTCACCATCGCTTTCCTTAGCACGGTCGGCTATGAATGGTAAGAGGCAACGCTTGAGAGCCAACGTATACATGTAGGCTCTCCATCAGTGGCTCCCCACCTCGGTTCCCCAGATGTTCTTGGACTGCAACTCCCAGACATCCTGGCCAGCACAGATTGGGGTGAAGGCTTCTGGGAGTTCTAGTCCAAGAACATGTGGGGACCTCAGGTTGGGAACTACTGCTCTCCATGTAGGCAAGACCTGTTGGGTCTACGGGTGAAACCCGTTGGGCGCCCCACCCAACTAGAGTAGACCTATTGCCTCAGTGGGTTTTACACACACCTGTTGCAAGAACTGTTGGGTCTACGTGTGAGTAGGAACCCTTCATCTCCGAGCTCTTCCTTCGTTGTCTGAAAGAAAACAAGGCCAAAACAGGGAAACTCCCTTTTCCCGGAGTATTTAGGAAGTTGTGTTTTCTAACTTCTAGAAAGGACTCGCGTCACTTCCCCAAATACCTCAGTAAGAAGTCACAAGTAAAGAGCTGTCATCCGTGGTAATAAGGACTGGCGTTCATTTCCAAAAGGGACCTCATCAGTGGGAGTGACCAGGGCTCGTTTAGCGGAACAAATTGTTTCCTTCCAGTTACTTGAATTTTCAGTGGGATTTTCATGAGGAGTGTCTTCATTTTTATGCCCTGCTGTCATCGATTCTAAACGCCTGAAACCCGTTGGGCGCCCCCCAACTAGAGTAGACCCATTGCCTCAGTGGGTTTTACACACACCTGTCAAGCTACCCTTCAATACTGTAACTGATTTGAGGTGGTCTGTTTTAATTAGAAGTGGATTTAGATCCACGGTGGCTTGCTTGCTTTTCTTTTTCCAAAGTAAAGCAACAACAACAAAACCCCAAGCGTATTGCGCCAGTTATTTCTACAAGACCGTAACTAGCATCCACAGTGGATTACTTTTCAAACAGTAAACAGAGTATTTGGAATTGATCACAGTAGGACCTCTGTTTCTGTGGGAGATCGGTTCCAAACCACCCCTCTACTCGGATGTTGAAAAATGTGGGTTTACAGCAAATGTTAGTTTAACGGTGACCACTGTACATAACACAGTCTCTGACCAGTTCTGGTGATGTCATCTTTAGAAATATATATTTCTAGGATTTTTTTCTTAATAATTTTCATATTTTCGGACTGCGAATCAGTGAATATATCGATCCCGTGGATAAAGAGGTCAAGCCAGCTGCTCAAGGCTGCTTCTTATCCCTTAATGGCCGTTTTCTCTCTCAACAGCTTTAAGCGTTTGAGGCAAGAGCCACCTGAAGACCAACAGGAACAGCGCCCGGATCCAGAGCCCTTCCAAGGCAGTCGCTACGACACCCATCACATCCCTCCTGCTCCACCTATGCCGCCACCTCCACCGGCCATGGACATCCCTCCTGCCCCACAGCTCATTTCCACCTCCTCTTAGAGCCAGGATCCAACACGCCTCTCGGTTTCCTCCCAACTGAGTTTCTTCCCTGTCTTTCCCCGGCGAGGCACAAATCCTTAAACCTTCCGGTCTTCCTTTTTCCAGGGGTAGGGATTCTCCGATTCTGGGGCCAAATCCAGCCCTCTGCTCCACATTTCCTTTTCCCAGGAACACCATGGCTTCGGGGGGGGGGGGTTCAAGATTTTGTAGAAGTTCTTCCCTATCTGACAAGGTTGGGAATCCTCTGTTAAGGTCCCGTTCCTAGTAGTAACCACTGTAGGTGAAAATGCACAGCCTTCGTCCCTGCCCCCAAAGTAGACTCTGGCTCTCGGAAACATCTCCGGGGTGGGATTTGGGTTGAAAGAAGTTGACCTTTGGTTTGTTTGCCCTTTGTCTCTCTTCGCCCTTTGGGTGTTGGCCGTCAAAAGTCCATGCATTCCAACCAAAATGACCGGGGTTCTTCATTTCTTTAATAAGGGGGATCCGTCCGGATTGTATTCTGTAGCATCTGGTGGTGGCATCTTGGGAGGGTTTTGGTGAAGAATTCCAAGGCCCCGTTCCTTGGAAGGGAAGGACCCATCGCCACCAAAGACAACAAACGGACATGTCGCGGAAGATGCATTGCTACCATTAAACCCAGAGTCACAAATGACCAGCACTACTGTTTTGTTTGGTTTCTAAAATACAAGAAGCATTCCAAAGTTCCTCCCTGGCCTATCTCCAGATTTGACCCTGCCTGGAGAACAAGGTCCTTTGTTATCTCTTGGGGGCATATTAGGTACTTATATGGACAGCCTGAAGAAGTTGCCCTCCGACCCATTCTGCATTTGAGTAGAGAGGATACAGATCGGGGCCAATCCACCCTGTTCCCTTTAGGAGACATTCCAACCTCCAGGTCCGTGGCATTATCTGCATGAATCTCTTTTTAAAAAAGAGGTGGTGGTAGTGGGACTGAAGATCATCATTCTGCCACTGCGTGTCCCCTTAGCCCCTGGGGCTTCAAGACAAACCCTTGACCATGGATTCTGCACTCGGGCATAGTCCATCATCTCCTTGTCTGCTCCTTCCTGAAACTTCCGTTAGGCCCACTGGGGGGGGGAACTAGGGGGTGAGGGCAGGTGGCCTGCTAGTGGTTGCAGGATCCACCCCCTCACAACTGCCCCTTCTGACAGGAGAACAGGTGTAAATCCTGTGCATCTCGCGGGTGTGATGCTGTGTTGCAATGTTTCGCAACGACTCCCATACGCTTTCGTTGGTGTGCTTGTTTTGTGGACGTCTGGGCCACAGGAGAGGGGCCTGTCCTTCCCCTATTCCATAGGGCCATTCACACATTGCAAGGGGAGGGGGAAATCCATAACCTATTCTTTAATTTCTGCATACTACAAGGGTGTGTGTGTGCAGGATTTGAACCCTGGGTCCCTGAACCCAACTGCATCAGGCTCCTTAACCCAGCTGTTTGTCTGGCAAAAAGGGAGTGGGTTAAGACCATGACTAGGAAGAAAACAGCAGCCCCTTTTCTGTCCGAGCCACACCAGCAGTGTTTCTCTTTTGCTGGGGTGGAAATAATTCCCCCCAGACACAATTTCCACCAGCTCCTCAGAGGACAGGAGCCGCCTCTCGATCCAGCCTGTGAAAGCCTCAGTGGGGTGTGGACCAGCCTTAGTCATACCACCTTGCCACTGAAACGTGGTGGACCACGGTGAGTCAGCCGGTGCGAGGAGATGAGCCCCACCCAAGGTGGCTGCAACCGTGGGGAAAGGGTGTGATGCGTGGGGCCTGATGCTAACATTGGCGGAAAGGAACAGACGGTTGGGTGCGGGACAGGCAACGTCGGGGGGCCCTGCCAGGACGTGATCTGGTGGATGCCAGCCGTGGTCGCTGCATCGCGTGTGAGGGTTACGAAAAAGTCAAAAGTGGTTCTGAGCATCTCTAAATGGCCTGTTCCGACTTTCCTCTTCGTTCTCCATTTAAGGGGCAATCGGACGGCCGCAACGGTGCAGACGTGATCACCCCAGGCTTTTGTGCTGGTTGGGGACGATCTCTCTTAAACCAGATCTCCTGTCTGTCTAGGAATTGCTCTGGCCCGGCTCCGAATCGGAGAAGCCTTACAACTGGACAAAAAAAGGCACAGATTGGAGTCGGGCGCGGGAGCACATGCTGCCTTACGATGTGGGATCGCCAGGAAACGAGATCGTAGGGAATTACTCCACAAGCCGTCCTAAGGGCGATCTGTTTCCCTTTAGGATCACAATCCTTCAGAAGTGATACGAGTATGCGATTTTCATGATCTATATGGTTAGGTAGGGTCAAACCCAGGTTACAAGCCTGTTCTGGCAGAGAAGCAAACCAGGATTTTAGAAGCATCTGCTCGTTCAAGCGTGAGTTGCAATTTTCATCCGCTTGTATGAACATTTCAGTCGGCGCTTCCCTGTTTTCTTTGTAAAAGGGATGGGCTTGAAACGAGGCCAGCCTGGTGCAGAGTCAGGCAGAGCTAGAGCAGGCAAATTTCCCCTTCTGAATAACAGTGATTTCCAATCACTCCTAATTTTCTATCCGGGAGGAGGTGTTCTGTTTGCAAGAGCTGTTTCCCAATCGGAGAGCCAACTAACGAACCACCTTTAAATCCTTAGATGTTACAACAGTTATGGAATAAGGGGCCGCATGACTCCGGAAACTTAGCTGGTTTTTAACGCAGAAGGAATCGTACCGACAACGGAATTAGCCCCGAGACATTAGAGAACCTCCAGTATCAGGAGCAGTCTACCTGTTAGTACCGAATACTTGAGGAAACAGAGGAAGGGCTATCGCCTTTCTGCTCCGCTTATGTCACAAGAAAGTAATCACAACAAAAGGAATGGAAAAAGGAAATCCCTGCTCAGACATGAAAATTCACTAGGAGGCGCCTGGCATAAACACCTTGAATATCTTACATCTCCACTTACCTTGGGCGAATTCAGCCGCTGAAATCCTATAGTCTAAAGCAGGCCCATTGAACCAGCAGAACTTGCAGAGGGGTTGACTCACCAAACTGCCACTGATTCAGTGGGCCTACTCTAGTTGTGACTTTACGACTGGCTTTCAGGCCATGGAACCTGCTTCCTAGTAGACCTATTAAAAACGGTGCTCTAAATGGCTTCATGTCCTCTTTCTCCAAAAGAACGTGAGCAAACAGCATTTGCTCAACCAAGTCACTCAGGTATGTGACGATCTCATCTTCCCAACGTAGGTTGCACCCACGAAAAAAAGAATACAACATTAATCCTCCGAGTCCTGATTCATTGACAACTTCTGAGTCACAGAGTTGGTGCTGCTTCTTAGTACAGAACTTAGTACAAGTTCTGTACTAAACATTCCTATTAGAGATGATTCGGCGGTTTGTGCTGGTTCGTTTCTTAGCCAAACCAGCGTCTGGCGCTTCCCAGCCCCTCCTCCTCTGATGGGCGCCCATTCAGGGAAGGCGCCGAACACTCGTTCAGCCAACAAGCGAACCAGCACGAACCACCGACACGAACCACTATGATCCACCCGCACCAGAGTGTTTAAATAACGAAGAAAAACAGGAATGTCCTTAAGAACCTTGGCAACAGATCTCAGGTGATGCGTTCCCAAAAACAAGCTTTGAAACATATTTATATCCCAAGTATTCTTTATTTGAAATCAACTGCTCCTAAAGTTTAAGTCATGCAGTAAGCGAAACCCGATATTCTTGCTTTGGATAAGTTTCCCTCCGGGCACCTAAACCCTCCCAAACACCGTGACCACCAAACCAGACTTTTAAATGAAGGCTGTGTTTGCCTCCCAACTACCAATCTGCAAAGAAAATCCAGCTAGTTCGTAAAAAATGTCAATTGAGAGCTGATCCTGTTAAGATGATCGGATGTCTTTTGCTTTTTAAGGCAGTTCTGCTTCTAATGATGATGTCCTTTCAGCTGGCTTAGCCTTCGGTGACAGGGGCTCAGTGTTTGTGAGGGGCGTTTGCTTCTCCTCCTTACACACCCTGCTTTTGTCCGCACGATTGGCCTCGGGTTCTCCATTGCTCAGTCATGCCCGATTTATCCGGCCGCGCTCCGAAACTCGCCGGACTTGTTTCCTGCCAATCTTCACCCCTCCTAGAGATGAGAGAGAAGGGGGGGTGGGATTAAGAATATACAGGTGTCCAAAAAATAGATGACAAGCATGGGTGAGGCCCATGAAGGTGAAAACACAAAGGAGGTAGTCAAAGCAGAGCGCTTCCCACTGTACTCTTGCGAGGAACAGAGAAGGACGAAAGGTGGCAGATAGGATGCGTTGCTCTCTGGCCGTTTCGTTGATGATGGTGTTCGGCGCCGCATGCGGACAAGGTATGTCTTTCTTGCAACGGCTTTCTTTTCAATTTAAGGGGAATTTAATCCTTTTTTTGAATGCACACTCTGTCCACAGAAAGATGGCATTCGCCAACGTAAGCGTAGCCCCGGCGGAGAAAGCTTAGCCATGATTGCTTTGGTTTCGTGGGAAACGACGAAAAGATGCCCTGAATCGCGTTGGTACTTTGTTAGGGGAGGCTTCTTGGAATTCCCGTCTTTAAAAAAAAATTAAAGAAGGGAAATTTCCCACCTCGGTCTAATTTAGGCAGCCTCACCCCTGTGATTCTGCCTGCCCGATCCCGTTTGCCCAGTAAAAATAAAATCTGTTTTTAAGAAAGGTGGAATTTCACACGGACAGCATTTGAATGTGTTAACTTAGAAGCGGCGGACATTGAAATGCGGGGAAAACTTTTTCTGGGAATCGATGAGATTCCAGAAGGAAATCAATCTTCCGTTCGAGAATATGGGACTTTCCGATGTGACTGAAAGTCCCATATTCTCTGGCAATTGTGTGACTCTGGCGCAGTCGGGTTGCAATCCTCTTCCGTTTGTATCTCTCCTGGGCAACCGGCTTGGTTCGTCTCGGGATTGGGCAGGGAAAGGTAAACATGGGCTTAGTTTGCCATTCGGATTACTCAAGCACTGAGCTTGGAAGGAATTAAAGCAAAAAGCAAAGTGTGCTGCTTAGATACCACCCCATAGCGTTCAAAGCACTCTTGGGGCAATGTACAATGTAATTCTGCAGGCTACACATTGCTCCCGTTCAACGCACTCTCGGGGCAATGTACAATTTAATTCTGCAGGCTACACATTGCTCCCCCCCCCAGTCCAAGTAAACTTGGTCTTTAGTTTAGGAAGGATGGAAGGCTGAGTGAACCTCAGTCCAAGTAAGCTTGGTCTTCAGTTTAGGAAGGATGGAAGTCTGAGTGAGCCTCAAGCCAGGTTCACTCAGCCTTCCATCCTACCTGGGACTTTACCCAGGTTGTGAGCAGAGTTTTGGCTGCAGTACTGCGATTTAACCACCATGCCACAAGGCTCCACTCTATTGTATAGCAGTTTTGTTGCTATATACACTAACATTCAGCTTTTATCAACCTGCTCTCTGTATTGTGTAATTTGACCCTAGATGGGACCTTAGATGGCTCATGTGTGGAGCAGGACCCCCTAGATTTTGAGATTTGGCAGCGAGGTACCCCCTGGTCTGTCCATATGTACCTGAGGTTCATATCTACTTGGTATTGCCTGATGACAAAAATAAGTCCATCCGGAGTGGGACCATTATTATAAGAACCAAAGCACGTAGCTTCCACTCCATTGTGTCATGACTTGCTCCAATAGGGCATATATACTAGGAGGTCTATCTTGTTGGAACTTTTACAACCATGCATGCTGGCTGGGCGGGACTTTTCAGGGCTGGGGTAACTGTCAATCTATCCAGCAGCTCCATTGTGTCATGACTTGCTCCAAAAGGGCATCCTAGGAGGTCTGCCTTGTTGGACACTTTTACAACCAAGCATGCTGCCTTTAGTAAGTTTGGCTGGGCAGGACTTTTCAGGGCTGGGGTGATTGCCAATCTATCCAGCAGTAACCAATCATTCTTTCGCTGCCTCTTAAAGAGAGCCTCTTCTCTCTACTTAGTGCTTTTTCCTCTGTTGGCTGCTGGCAGCTAGTAGTCTGTTGAGGTCTGTTGCTAAAGCCAGTCATGTCTGTCAGTTTGCCGTTTGAACCGTTCGACCGTAAGTAATGAAACCTTTAATTCTTCTGCTAATGCCTCAGAGTGAGCTCTGGAGACTTTAAGTGTTGGTTAAATGAAAGGGGTGGTCATCTCTAGGGAACCTGAAAACTATTCTGCTCTTTGGGTCCTTGCACTTCTTTGCACAGGTAGAAGAATTCAATCAGAAACTAAAAAACTCTGCAACACGTGTAACTCCCTAGGGTCTACCAACCGACCCTACGGATTGGGGATGCTGGAAACTGAACTCCCAACTTGTGTTGGAAGACAGTGGGCAAAAACAGGTGTTCTTCTGCTGACCTATGACCCTCCTCTAAATCCTCTGGTTGGAGGTGCTTCCTGCTTCCTTTCCTGTTTTGGTGACACCATGACTGCAGGGAAAATCTGGGGCATGGATGAACTCTTCCTCCGAGCAGGAGATCCAAACGAGAGGAGTAAACTCAATGAGTTTTCTCGCTGGCTTTTTTCCCCCCAGGGCCTTCTGTCTATACCCCCCGTCTCACGTCAGAACAAATCGGGGGGAAGATCACCACGTCGACCTTCGTCCTGGACCAGCCCCGGTGTGTGTTCAACGGGGTCGTCAACCCCACCGATGAGATATGGCTGGTGGTGGCTCAGAGCAATGGTATGTTGTGGCCCTTCATGTTGTTGTCGTTACATGCCCGTCTGACTCATGAATGAATCCTATGAATGAACAATCTCTGGTCCTCAACAACCCTGCAGGCTCAGCTCTTGTAGACTCAGACCTGTGAGAGACCTTGAGAGAGTCGGTCTATCTCGCATTTGGTCTTTGACTTCAGAGGCAGGAGGGAAGGATTGGCTAGTGCTGGCCAGAGTGACAGCCAGAAAACTCCCTCCCCGCCGCTCAAACCACAGGCAGCCTGCGAGGTTGTAAAAAAACACCCCAACCTTCTTTTCCTTCCAAGTTCTCCTCCGGGGGGAACTTTGCAATCATTTCTTTGCTCCTTTTGCCTCGGCAGCCGTGAAGAATTTCACCAACCCGCGCTCGTCGACGGAACTGCCCTACCAGGAGTTTGAGAAGAACCACGTCTACATGACCATGAGCACCGTCCCCTCCAACTATCCCTGCCCGGAATCGACACAGAACAGCGACGAGATCACGGTGCTGCGGGTGGGAGACGAAACCAAATGCATCGCCGATTTCTCGAGACCAGATTGTAACGGCCCCCTCCCGGGACCGGGACCTTACCAGTGAGAGGATATCTATCTATCTATCTATCTATCTATCTATCTATCTATCTATCTATCTATCTATCTATCTATCTATCTATCTATCTATCTATCTATCTATCTATCTATCTATCTATCTATCTATCTATCTATCTATCTATCTATCTATCTATCTATCTATCTATCTATCTATCTATCTATCTATCTATCTATCTATCTATCTATCTATCTATCTATCTATCTATCTATCTATCTATCTATCTATCTATCTATCTATCTATCTATCTATCTATCTATCTATCTATCTATCTATCTATCTATCTATCTATCTATCTATCTATCTATCTATCTATCTATCTATCTATCTATCTATCTATCTATCTATCTATCTATCCATCCATCCATCCATCCATCCGTCTATCCGTCTGCCTGCCTGCCTGCCTGATGGTGGTTCTCGAAGCCTCCCTCAGGATAGCCTCCCACAACACCGCCCATCTAGTGCTGAAGCCCCACTCTGGGCAGCCTGCAAGAGTTAAACACGTTCCCGCATCACCTGGTGAAACGACACATACACACACACACAAAGCAGTAACAAGAACAAAATGCAAACATAAGCTAAATCCCCCCGGAGGGCGACAGCTAAAGCAAATCACAGTTACGTAGAAGGGGTCAAGAAATCTATAGGGAGAATGCTCCTGAAGGCGTCTTCGAATAGCACCACTTTGACCTTCTTGCTTCCTGAAGGACAGAAGGGAGGGGGCTTGGCATAAATCCACAGGCAAGCGAGTTCCAAAGTGCCGTGGCCACCACCAAGAAGGCCCCCGTTCCTGATGGTGGTTCTTGAAGCCTCCCTCAGGATAGCCTCCCACAACAAGGAAGCCGGGGATGATCAGGTAGTCTGGGTAGAAGATCTCAAGGAAAGATACTCCAGCATGTGCTGTGGTCCCAAACCATTTAAGGCCTCATACAATCAGGCCGCCATACCCATGGGAGATTGGTTCCAATCTCCAGTGGATGTTGAAAACCGCGGATAATGGCAAACACTATATAAAGTGTGGTAAAAGGAAAAAATCCAGAGGACATGATTTCCAAATATATTACCGGCTCCCTCTATTGACCGGTGCTGGTAAATACATCATGAAAATACGCATTTCTTGTCATTTTCTTTTCATATTTTTAATATTTTCAGACTGTGGATAAATGAAACTGCAGATACTGCAGCAGGACCTCCCACAAACACGGGGCCCCTATTGTTTTAGCTCTTTGAATTGGGCACGGAAGCAGACCGCTCAGGGAGTCAGTCTGAAGGGGGGAGGAAATGTGGTTTTTGTTTTTATTTTTTAAGTTCCAAACTATCCTATGAAAATTCCCACCTATTCTTTAGGCGGACGGAGTGGATCATAAGAGCAGCTTGATCTGGAACGGGTCTGTGGAATGACTATCATCTTTTTTTTCTTTTTCTTCCCAGAGTCAAGTTTCTGGCTATGAATTCCAGCGGCCCCACGGCTGAGACAAAATGGTCGTCGCCGATCACCCTGATTCAAGGTAGCGATGAACAGACGCGGGGATTCCGTTCCGGTTTTACGAATGGCGATACGGGCCCCAATCCGAGCCCATCAAAATCCCACATCTTCCCATGTGGGAGTCACACCCCTGCTCTGCAACCCTGTGTACGCACCGATCTGGAAGCAAATTCAAATTGCTGAGCCCAAACTTCCCATGTGGGAGTCACACCCCTACTCTGCAACCCTGTGTATGCACCGATCTGGAAGCAAACTCAAATCGCTGACCTCTGGGTAACAAAGGACTGAGCCCAAATAACTTACTTCTAAGTAGACCTGCCCTAGGTTGGCCCTCTTTCCCCTCTTCCCCCCCAAAAAACAGGAACATAATTTACTGAGTGTTCCTTTCCCTCTCTCGAAACTGCCGGTTCATGTGCAGCTGATCGGTTCACCGCCAAAAGTCGTGACATGTTGTCCTTTCTAGCACAAATGTCCCAGAGTAAGTTCCTGGGACCTTAAGTGCCAGTGAACGAGAAAGGGGTGGACTCTCTGGAGAACTTGGAGTTCCTGGGACCTTAAGTGCCGGTGAACGAGAAAGGGGTGGACTGTCTGGGGAACTTGATGCTATTCTCCTCTGTAAGTCTCTGTGCCTCTGCTATGTCGTCAAAAGGAATTTGACCGGAAAAGTCAAATGATGGGACAAAGAAAAACAAAATATATGAATGAATGGGATTGCTTTTGTCAGAATGATTCTCTTTCTTTTTCCTCACCCAGGGAAGAGCCCAGAGACCATCGATACGAATCCTGAGCACCTGAGTGCCGGAACGATTGCCATCGCCACTATCCTCTCCATCCTCTTCGCCCTCTTGCTTGCTGCCCTTATCGCTGCCTTGATTTATAAATAGTACGTTTCCCCCCCCGAGAACTGAGAGGGAACATCTACAGAAAGGGGGAGCCCTTATTTCTTGGGATGGTCATCCCAGATGTTTGGATGGAGTTGGGTGGGTTCTGGGAGGATCCCTTCTAGGCTCTGAACCAACATCTGCTCTTGGGGCACCACCATGTGAACCCGGAAGGAGGGGGCTTGTCTTCTCCTCTGGGGCTTGGCTCACTGGCTCGAGCCTTCAGGAGCTAGGCGTGGGTGCTGGCCATCGTTGGTTGGCCTCTTGTGGCTCCACAATGCAGTTCAGGGTGCCCTGCCGGCCCCTCCGTTCAGTACAATGGCCATGGTGGCTGAGGACGATGGGAGCTGTAGTGAGACACTGGATGTACAGGAGAATCATGGTACCCGCAGGGAATCAGTTCCAAGCCACCCACCGCGGAGGCTGGGAAAACGCAGAATGCTATACATTGCATAGTCTCTAGCTTGAGTATTTTCAGGTAGTGGATAAGTGAATTAGCGGATAACTGATCCGCGGATAGGGGAGTCCTAATGTAATTGGAAACTGCCTGCAACACTCTCCCTCTAAAAAAAAATTTGAGCAACGAGGGCACAAGAGGACAATCTTTCCGAAGCAACACAGGAAGCCAGTACTTCCTTGTCTGTCTCTTTTTTGCACAGTTCCGACGTCTGCGGCGGTGCCGATATCGTGACCGTGCGGGACCCGGCGACCGTCATGCGGTACACGACCCACCATATCTACGACCAGCCGGCCAACAAGTTCTGAGTTTGTCCAGTGTGTCGAACTTCCGTGCTTCCCTCCTGCACGCCTCGCTTCTGCTCATGAGGATGTCACCAGGAGAACATCTGGAGATCTTTGAGACCCAAATTGGACGTCCAGACCTCAGATATTTGCATGCCAAACCAAAGGAAAGTGGGGAGGATGGGATTTGAACCACCGTCATCTTCTGTGCCCCAGGTTTTTCGCGACATGCCGTCAAGTCTCCTCCAACGTACGTTGACCCTATGAATGAAGGATCTCCAAAATATCCTATCTTCAACTGCCCTGCTCAGTTCTTGCAAACGAAAGTCCATAGGTTCCTTGCGTCTTCCTCTTTTCCTGCTGCCTTCAACCTTTCCCAGCATTATTGTCTTTTCCAGAGATTCCGCCCTTCTCTTGATGTGCCCAAAGCAGGACAACCTCAGTTTCGTCATTTTTGTCTCCAGAAGAGAGCTCAGACTTCATTTGCTCCGGGACCCACATATTTTGTCTTTCTGGCAGTCCAAGGTATCTGCAAAGCTCCCACCGCCAACACCAATTTGAGACAAATCAATTCTCTCCCCCCACCACCATCATCAGATTTCTTCCCAGTCCACCTTTTACTCTCTAACATGGTGATCAGAAACACAAGAGGGTGGATGATCTCGGTCTTCATCTCCAGCAACACATCCTTGATGATACCAGGATGGTATCCTTTTGGCACAAATCCACAATTAAAACCCAGGTTTGGTGGCATAGGAGGTTAATCCTCATTGCTCTCCACCCGCCACCTCCCAACCTCCTGAGAAACCTGGGGATTCTCATTTAGGGAAGATGTTGAGCATTCTCCCTTTTGATTCTGAGATGACGCTTCTCAGAAGCCAGAAACACCATTAGGTTTGGCTACAACTCCTGGAGTCACACAACCGGCATGGACTATGGGAAGTGTATTCCCAAATAAGGAACTTTTCCAGCCTTCGTGTCTTGCGTAGGGGGAGCTGATTTCTGCACTCGGATCCACCACTGGGAATCGAACTCGGAACCGCCTTCCGTACGAGGATGAATGTGACCGTGTGGGCTGGAAGCGAAATGAGTGCGGTCGACCGGAGATGATGGCTTCACGCATGCTGGGTGGGGGGATTCTGGAAGTTGTTGTCCAAATATCACAGTGCCAAGCTCTGAGTTTGAAAGGATGGCTGCTAATTCAAGAATAGGATGCCCCTAAGCCTGTAAATGGGGCAGCCTTTTCCACCCCCCTGTTCCAGAACATTGGATTTTACAGTTTTAGAAGAGGTTGCCGTGCTGGTCTGTGCCAGGAGGTCGGGCCAAAAACAACAGAAAAATGAAAAGAAAGAAAGAAAAATATTCCAACACCTTGAAGCCGAACTGCTATATTTCGATGTGAGCTTTCGTGGACTTTACCCACTTCCTCCGAAGGGATTTTCTTGTAAAAGGTGGCACAGGGTTAAAGATTAAGATAACCGTTCTTTCAACTGGGAGAAGCCACCAAGGATGCATTTTAAATACAAATAGATTTCAATATATTACATATCTTTTATTTTTGACACTGGGATATATACAAGCCTGCAAAAACGACACCTTGGAATTGCTATGTAAGCTCATTTAAAAAAAAAAACCCCACACAATTAAATTGGTTATTTTATTCTTACTTATGCCCGCTTTTGTCTGGGCGTTTGTCAATTTATTTCGCTGTCCTTGAACCTGCTAAGTCTACTGCTTGAAACCTGTTTCGCTCACACACACCTCCCCTTTCTCACATGTGCTTTTTATCGTGGATCTGTTCATTATTTTAGGATTTTCTTCCCCGTGCCGTGATCTGAAACGGAATCGCAGGGCAAAAAAATTGGAACCTGCAAAACACAAGGTTAGAAGCAAAAACCAAACACTGAGCAGTATGAAAACGGAGGGAAGGAGAAGCAATCAAACCACAGAAACCACAAGGGCCACAGAAGTGTCCAGATTCCTGGGTTGGGACTACAGATCCCAGAATCCCCCAGGCAGCACCGACCCACCCCACCTGACAATCAGAATATCTCCCAGTTCTGGTACTGTCAAAAGTCAAATGGGTGGTTAGCAAAGTGAGAGAGAGATAAAGAGCAGCGGTCTTGCTTAGGGTGGCTCTTTCCCTCTCCAGAGAAGTCCACCGGGCACCGTCATTAATGTCCGTGGTGTGCCATCATTTCTTCCTCAAGCTTTGGGGGAAGGACAAAATTCCAAAATTCATTTCCAACTGGGATCAAAAGCCGGTGTTCACTCCAACGACAGCAGACCCATTGAAATCAATGGAATTCTTCTCCTTTTTGGGGGGCAACTGGTCCCATTCATTGAAATGGGTCTACCATGACCACCGTTGACTTGACCCTGTGAATTCTCTCTTTCTGTCTCTCTGTGTGTGTTTAAAGAGACAGTTGTTTTTACTCTCTTCTGGGCAGCATTTCTCAGCTGCTCTGCCGGGCGGGTTTTGTTTTTTTAGCGAGTCGAAAGGTGGGGAGTCTTTGATTAATTCAATTAAAGAGTCGTTGCTCCCTTCTGTAAACACAGGGCGAAGGCGGTTCTCAACACGCCCTTTACTCCGCAGGAAGGAGCCGAAACATCAACCCAACACAAATCAAGCCGCCCAAAAGGAGCGTGTAGACAAGTAAGAGATACGCCAAACTTTTTTGGACTTCTCGAAGGAGATCCACCAAGGTTCCTGAGATTTCGTTCTTCCCTGGCATGGCCACAACGGCATCTGGGTCTCAAATCGCCACAGGACAGTGAGGCTCAAGGGAATCCGGGGGATGAACACAGCTTGAGAGATCACACAGGGTTAATGTATCATAAGCCCTGTGGGTGCCGGGTGCGAGTCTTCCTTCCCTCTCCCATGTGGGTTTCTGCGCTTCCTGTTGAAAGCCAGAGACAAAACTTCATTCTCGGGCACCCAGAAGACTTTTAAAAACAAACTTTGGCAATTCATTTCTTTCTCCTGATCAGCGGGCAAGGGGGACCCAAACATCAGTCCTTAATCACAAAAAGGGCCCTTTCTCTCCATTAAATTCTCTGAGAGATTTCATTTAAAAAGCAGGAATTGGCCATTCCCCACCCTCAAAACTTACTCTGCTCCTGATCGGATCACCAGGTAGGATGCTGAAAGGATACGTAAAAAGAGCTGGGTTGATCAAGCCACTTGCCTGTCCAGACTAACAGGTGGCATGGATAAATAGTGACCTGCTTGCTCCTGGAAGTGCCATTCAGTGGTAGACTGCTTCTGCATATGGAGGGTCCTTATGCTCATAGCACTAGGTCCACATATTCCAGGAATTTGTTTTTAAGTTTCTCCTGTTAGGAACGGGACCAGGTTAATATTAAAGACAAACAGGGAGTCATCAAAGACCCTTGAACCTCACGTGATCCTCTCTACGCATGGATGCTAAAAAAAAGCAGCAAAATGAATCTAATAATAATCTTGCAGATGTGGAAGGGACCCTCTGGATCATCCAGTCCAGCTCCTGTCAAGAAAGCACAAAGGGGGGGGGATTCGTACTTCCAGCAGTTTATAGCTCATCAGGAGAAAAGCTCAAGCAAAGTGACTTTTTTGGACTACAAATCCCATAACCCCCACCCAGATAGCATGGGCACTCGATTCGGGGCATCGAATCCGCCAAGAGTAACTTTTCCATGTTCCGCCCTAGAGAGGAAGCCCAGCCAGGTGTCTCTAGCTTGGGGGGGGGGAACTCTGCCTTCAGACTCCCCACTTACCTTAGAACTTGCCCCCAACTTCGGCCGAGGCCACCTCCTGGTTTCGGAGTCCCACCTGTTAAGCCTGGTATTTCGGAGAGAAGAGACGCCCCCTGCACCCCCCGCCTCCAGCTTCAGTGTTTTCTTTCTGCAATTGCCTGCGATGGTCTTTCCATCTTGCCGTTCAAGTGCCCGGGGTGCTCCCTAAGTAAGAGCAATGCTTTGCATCTTCAAGAAACCGTGGGGGGAAAAAAGATATTGAATCTGAAACACCGGGCTGGAGCTGTCAAGACTGTTAATCCTGCCAGGGAGAGGAAGTGATTGAACACAGTCCTGTGACATCCTTCTTTTTAAAATCTCCCTTCCAGGCTGCCGCCTGTTGCTTGGAGATTTTGCTATCACCTGACGCACGCTCGGCTCCGTTTTCTGTTTTCTCTCTCGCAGAGTGATGGATGCTCTGAGTGAAGGACGGCCTCCTTTTGCAAACATGACAGGTTCAGTTTCCCACGGCTGCCTCGCCGAGATAGCAAGCCACCGGGGAAGGGACAGGCTGGGCCTTTTGAAGAGCGTTGGGTTTCAAAGTACAGTACAGTATCGGGTTTTGGAAGCAGATGCTCATCGTGACTGTTCAGAAACAGTGTGGCCTGTTTTCAAACACATCTCAAATTTAAATGCATTTGAAAATGCATTTTTGGGTTGTTTTTTAAAGTAGTTTCCTGTCGACCGAGAGTCGATCTTTTGCAAGGCCAATGGCTCTTAATCATCCATTCACAACAAAGCCTCTCCTCGCCTCCCAATATTTTGCACGATGATAAGGGCAGCTTATAACGACACAGGACCCCTGTAGCCATGAGAGATCAGTTCCAAGCCCACCCAGCCTGTGGATGCTGCAAAATACAGGTTACAGTATAGCAAATCCTATTCTAATGCAAAATGCTATACACGGCATGGTCTCTGGCTCTTCATAGTGGCCAGTTCTGGTAACTTCATATTTAGAAATATATACAGTACGTACTTCTAGGGTTTTACTTTTTATATTTACAGTGGTGCCTCGCTAGACTATGATAATCCGTTCCACTGAAATCGCTGTTTAGTGAAATCATTGTCTAGCGAAAAGCATTTCCCTATTGGAATGCTTTGAAACCTGTTTAATGCGTTCCAATGGGGAAGAATCGTCATTGTCTAGCGAAGATCAGCCATAGGAAAGCCGCTTTGCGAACCACCGATCAGCTGTTTAAATAGCTGTCTTATGAAACTTAGGTCCCGAAAACACCCGTTTTGCGAGCACGGAGGGAGCTGTCAAAATTGTTGTCTAGCGCAAAAATTGGTTTGCAAAGCAGGGACCAAACATTGTCCAGCGAAATTCCCCCATAGGAATCACTGTTTTGTGAATCGCAATAGCGATCACAAAAAGTCAATGTCTAGCAAAAAAACTGTCATGCGGGATAACTGTCTAGCGAGGCACCACTGTATAATATTTTCATACTGTGGATAAGTGAATCAGTGGATACTGATCCTGTGGATAAGGGGGTCCTACTGTATCGTTGCCAGGAAAATCCATTCCAAGCTTTCACCCCCTGCTTGTCAAACCTCAATTGTACATGGGTGAAAAAGTTTGAGCTTTTGAAATTTAAAATGTATTAGCATTTCAAAGAGATGGATTCTCTGCCCTTTGAGGGTATAATCTCCTGTACCACATTTTAAAATTTACACTCCTACAGTTCTGAAACATGATTATAACAGGACTTAACTGTGCACTTGCAGCTTAAGTTCACTGTTCTTATATTCTTATAGCTGTGAGGATGATTTTTGCAAGAGGCAATGATGTGCCAGTGACTTCTCAAAAGTTAACACATTTTTTAATGCTTTGAGAATGTGTGTTATGTTTATGGAAGGGAGCCTCCGGGAGGCAGTGGAAGACAGGAGGGCTTGGCATGCTCTGATCCATGGGGTCACGAAGAGTCGGACACGACTGAACGACTAAACAACCAGATGAATGTTGAAATGCTTATCAATGATCGTCCAGTTTCGTTCTTGAATTAGCCCCTTTTTGATTAATAAAGCCAAGGACCCTTCGTTTCTGTGGTGTGTTCTGTGGGTACAAATAGAACTTCGGACTTGACAGTATTATGAGGCAAATCCCATGTGAAAAATCATGTGGATTCATGAGAATCCGTACTTTGATCCCTCTTTCTCTCCCTCTCCTCATCACCGCTGCAGGGGTGAGTGACCAGCATGGGGGCCGGTGCAGGACAAAAACGTCAAACGGAAGTTTTCTCAAGAGTATACCCACACCCCGACCCAAATACCACCTGACTACCATCTGGTTTCTAAATCAATCCCATTTAGAACGAAGCATATTGTGAGTCAAATGTAAATATAAACACGCCCTAAGACGAACCTAGAAGACTTTTTTCACAGTGTTGTGAGATGTCGCCTTATTCATTGTTTGGGGTTTTAAATGTTGTCTTTTAAGGATGTTAACCCCTGTGGTCTCCTCATTGTTTTCAGCTTTACATGTTGTCTTTCGTTGTTTGTAAGCCGCCTCGGGTCCTTTTCGAGGAGAAAAACGGGGTAAAAATATTTTAAGTACTGTAAATAAATAAAGGCAGGCTTGTGTGAATTACCCTGTAGAGTTGTGTTAAATGGGGTGGGGGTCAAAAACAGAGCACTTCTGAGTGGAATATGACAAGCTGGCTACAACTCAGCTCAGCGGGATCCGGCGCTTAAGGCTGTGTATTTCTATAGTGTCAATTCTGGGATCCCTGCTCACATTGCAGGCCTGAACATACGCAGATGCTACAGGATGAGGAAGAACATGCTGTCATCCGGTGCAAACATCAGCCTCCACCTTTCATTCCTACACTGTGATCTTTGCTGTCATCATCACAGAATCAAAGAATAATGAAGTTGGAAGGGGCTTGTAAGGTCATCTAGTCCAACCCCCTGCTCGATGCAGGAATCCAAATCAAAGGAGATCTGCCAGGTGGGTGTCTAAATTTTTCTCGATTGCCTCCAGTGTTGGAGCGCTCAGCACCTCTTGAGATCATCGGTTCCGTTGTCGCGCCGCTCTAACAGTTAGGTTTTTCCTGATATTCAGCCTAAGTTTGGCTTCCTGTAGGTTGATCCCATTGTTACATATCTTATTTCTTCTCCGTGCACATATTTTTTATTTCCTTAAGAGGGCAAGTTTGCATTAAATCTGCCTATAAAACAAAGACTTGGCAATCTTACTTTCTTCTTATATTTTAAATTGTTTATTTTATATGTGGTTAGCCGCCCAGAGTAGTCAGTTGACTAAATGGACGGGGTATAAATAAATAAATAAATAAATAAATAAATAAATAAATAAATAAATAAATACATACATACATACTCCTCTAAGGGTTTTTTAACGACTTTGCCAGAAAGACACAGCAAGCCAATGGTTTTGCGACACCGCCGTAAAGCGCAACCCCAGTTTAATTTATTAGCCGGCGGGGACTGTTCCTCCATCAAGCCTACCAAGCTGCCGGAAAGCGACGTGTGACTTTTACGACGGAAGCCGGCAAGGCGACCCATGTGGCCCGTCGTCTTTTACAACGAAGCCGTAAAACAACACCGGCTCTATCGGACTGGGTGGGGATAGCTTTACGGCAAGGCGTTGGGCTTCCCGCCGGGGCTCTCCCCGATTTACGACAAATTGGCGACACTACCGTCCGGCGCCAACCAAAAAGGGCGGGGGGGGGAGCGGCCTTTCTATTCCCATCTCCCTCCTTCGGTTCCTAATTCCCCGAGAGGTCTCAGGGGGGGCGCGCGGCGCACTTTACGGCGGACGTCGTAAGAAGCGCCGCCAAGCGAAAGGGGCCGGTTGTTGTCGTTTTGCGACGCGGAGGCGGAAGTGTGGCGGCCTGAGGGGAGGGGAAAAAAGAGAGGGCCGAGGCTCCTCCTCGCCGAGGCTGACAGGAGGGAGGAGGCGAA